ACCCCAGGGATGAAATGCATGTCTTTTTCCTGTCCCTTCCTGCCATTCAACTCTCTCCCTATCCCTAGTCCGGGTTTTTCTCTTAACGCTGGAGGATTCGCTGCTTTTTTTTTTTTTTTTTTTTTTTGCAATTTCTGCCTTTGAAAAATCTGTACACCTTTGTCGCCTTCTCTGAATAAACTCTGTAATTAAGATCTATTTCTGAAATATTTATAGATGCTTGCCATGGGCCTCTTCTGATATTTAGAATCATAAGATTTTTTTTCTTTTACATTATGGAAGCAAGCCTGTGGGAAGCAAAACAGTCTGACCCTGTGCCCTTACAGCCCTGCGTATTTACTCTTTTCCCTCTGAGTTCCTACCAGCCGGTACTGGAATTGAGGGGATGGGTGATACCCATTCTTGCCTTTATGCAAACATTGCTATCCAGTCTTTACAAAATGCTGCTGTTGGAAACTGGTTACTTTGTCAAAACATTTAACACGTTCACATCTGCCGATACACCTGTACAACAGTAATAAAAATGTGCCTGCCTTGGAAAAGTAAGACAAGGCTATAGATGCTTAGTAAACATGAAACATCACATAGCAAATTTTCAATAAGGAAGAGCCGGTAAAATTCCTGGTTTTTCATTATAAAACAGAAAGTTAAAAACTCCAGCTATAACAGAACATTTAAGTTTTGGCTGTGGCCATCGGGGAAGTTGCACGTTCCTCTTTGCCCTCGGACAAGATATCCTGACAGTTTTAAGCTAAAAGGTTAATACCACGTGAGAGTTTTCTCTGCTAATATATATAACCTAATATGAAGCAGCCTAGGAGGTACAGAAAATTGTGATTACTTATCCACACCTCCTATCTTCCAAATTCCTGAGAACAGACCAAATACAACTAAATTCCAGAGCGGCTTTTACGGAGACACACACGCTCACAGGTGCACAATCCTCCAATGAGTAGATTCCTGACCAAATGATATCTTTAGCAGGGGACTAGGTGGGACAGCATGGCGTGAGGCTTTTCCTGAAGGAGGGCACAGGGGGCTCGTCTCAAGGAGAGCCTTCCGTGACGCAGAAGGCAACACTGCATGCTTGCCTCTCAGCTGTCTGTCAGCAATCTCCTTGATACTGTCAGTATCTGAAATTAACCGCCGCCCGGCTGCTTATTGTCTTCCACCTCCCCCCTCTAGGATGTAAGCTCTTGGCACTCAATTATTCATGTTTTCTTAAATGAATGGATGCATACATTTGTTGTTGCAGATTTTTCCCCCCTTGGCTCCTGGGTTTCTCTCTGGAATTCTCTTTATAAAACAGGAAGTATCTATTTCCCAACTTCATCAGACACGGAATAATTAGTTTCCATTACTACTCAGTAGTGTGTGCCCGCCACTGCCTTCTACTCTGGGTTATTTATTCACTGAGTTAACTGTTAGCCCAAGTAAAGTTTATACTAAGTATAATTAGGAAAGACATTTCCTAGTTCACACGGAATGTGTTGTTAGGCTTTGCTTTGGTTTGCTTTTTGTTGTTGTTTTCTGCTTCCAGGAGATGTGTTCTTTAGAGAAATACAACCGTGAGTGAGGCACCCTGTAAAGATGCACCCGCTCCATTAAAAAAAAAGAGAGAGAGAGAGAGAGCCTAAAAATCAAAGCAGACTTTCTTCCAGAAAAGCATGATCTGTCAGGTCAAAGTTCATATTGTTTCAAAGGGGAAAAAATTATTTTCACCAAGGTGAATTATTATTCTCACTGTCATCCCGAGGTCTGTAAAGCTGAAGAGTAATTACGTACAGGATAATCACCAGCTGCTGTGTGTGGAAGGGCTAAAACGGAAGCAACGCATTGCCCTTATATAGACTGAGGGCTTCCTAAGGGTGGGAACTGCACATTACACTCCTCAGGTCCCTGAGGGGTGGCTGGCCCAGTGTATTATGACCCAGGGAATATTAAATATGCATTAAACAGAGTGAAATTGGCTGGGGCGTATTTCAATGCAAGGAAACTTTGCCTATCAGGAATTACTAAAGCTACAGACTAGGTCCCCGAGAGAAACTTTTTGGCTAGATGTCTTTTAAAAAGAGAACTTGGGGCTAGAGAGATTGTTCGATGGATACAGTGCTCTCTGTACAAAGATGAAGCGTTGAGTCCAGAGCCCCCACACCCATTTGCCCAGCAGCTGAAGCCCACTAGGGCAGATCCCACTAGGGCAGATTATGCTCTGGGTAATGAAAACGGGGAGTGTTAAAGACAGAGGTGGAATTTGTCTCTAAAGCAGTTAGCGCTCCAGTCTCCAAACACGGAAGACAAGATTGATAACAGTGTGTCCCTAAACTCGCAGCTGCCTAATGGACATGTTTAAAGGGGGACAGAAGGAGAGCAGAAAACCTCTTGGATAGCCACAGCATTTTGAAATCAAAGCAATCAGGGATAGTTCCAGAAATGTGGGATTAGCAAGTTAGGTGACTATTTCCTGAACACCCCATCGAGAAATTCCTTTTGTTCAAAGGTTTATTTGCAAATGTGAGGCATTCTGTTTGAAAAGCAGCAGCTTATCCCAAATCAAGTTTATAAGTCACTTTTGATTATGACCTATAGGAAGAAATCTATTTTCCTTTGCAGTCCAGTGCAGACCTTCCCAGACTGAAGTGAGACCAAACTTCCGAGAAACCACACTCCGGCTTCGCAGGCATGCTCCAGTCTGCTGTGTTCTATTTCATTTCGTTACACTGATTTCAGGAACAAGCAACAGATCCCAGAAGGTTACAGCACCAAGCAAACCCTTTCCTAACCAATGGCCCCCACATCCATATCTGCTCTCTAGGCACTTACTGTGTCCACACAGAAAATATTCAGGAAGCATTAAGACAACAACAGTTACGCTTCTGTGAATCCAAGTGCATCCAACAGGTGCACAGCAATTTCGGTATTAATAAATTAATGTAGCAGGCAAAGAGAATTTAATCCCCTCGATAGATTCAGGTCTCAACTCTGATCCCACCCCGGCTATGTCACCTTCCCTGAAATCTGGTTACAGTGACTTCTCGCTTCTCCAAGATTATTTCTGACACAATTAGCACCTCAGTTAATAGAGGCTACCTACGCTTACACCATACATGGTTTAATGCTTTATAACATACGTGTGCTGTTTTCTTGCTAATTCTTAGACATTGTTTTTTTTGTTTTTTTCTTTTTTTCAGTCTGAGTCATGTTTAACCCCATGGCTTTACAAAAACAAGTCCGTCCAATCTGCTATCAGAATACCACTGTTATCAATACGAGGACCACTCAGTGACAACAACAAACCAATTTCCCTGAGCTTACTCTATCACTCAGTGCCAGGGCAGTGACACTTCCTTGTCCCAATCATTTTCCTAATCCATTGACATTTCCGTGGTTGGGGCTACAAAAGGGGAATTCTCAGCATCTGGCCCCCAGCAGTTGCTATAGGAGATACATAAACAATTTTAATAATCCTGTGCTCTTTGTACCCAAAGAAGGTGATTAAGGTTTCAAAAAGAATTTTTAAAAGAAGATTTAATCAGATGTTGGCTGGCTGGCTGCAACTGGGAATTCAGAGAGCCATTGAACCCAGGACAGATGTTAAAGCCCACAGTGAAGATTTGTATCTGAATCCTGAAGTGGAACCTCTCTTCTAATTTTTTATATATATATTAGCACAAATTAATTGTACAAATAGGAAATTTCACGTTTAGGTTTTGTTTATGTTACACAGCATCTCTCTCTGCAAAGCCCCTTCTCCCCCGAATGCCCAGCCCCTTTCCTTGCCACATTTTTTTGCTAACAATATTATTGCCACTTCGATCCAGGACATGAAGGGGCCGAAGATTCTTCCCCTGCCCGTGAGGTGGTGCTTTAGGTTTGAATGCAAGATGAGCCACACTCAGCCCTCTGGGTCACCAGACTGAAAGTGGCAGGGAAAGGGAGGGGGCATAAGGGGGGGAAGGGACCTGCGAAAATGACCCCCATGGAAATTCTGTTTGGGGGGATAATTTGTCCCTGAACTCTGTCTTCCACTGGGACAATGAAAGTCCAAAACTACACATATTAGGGGTCTCTCTGGGTTGAAGAGTCAGGGTTCAAATAAGGACAGAAGCACACACTTTTGTTGTTGTTGTTGTTGTTTTTGCCTGGAGTCACTGATCTTCCAGGGGCGGGACAAGGGCTCCAAGGATGGATGAGCAGCGGGAAAGCTGCAGCCCTTTTCACTAGACACCTGCCCCTCCCTCACCTGGATCTAAGCCCCTAGCCTCTGAGTGCCTAGGAACGTGTTTTGTGTTGCTCTCTGGCTCCCCACCCCCCATCCTGTCATTGCTATTTCTTTTGCTGAGGTGTGTTACTAACCTCGACGGCTACTGCTACCTTGCAATCCCGGGACACCCAAGCTAGCTCATTTTCCTAGCTTTTGCTTGAAAGGTCAGGGGAGAAAGTGCCCGCTGATGCCTGGCTGCACCCAGCACCGGACAGAAGGAGGTGGAGGGCAGTCCGTCCTTGCAAACAACTTGCCTGCCTCCCGGGGTGCGCCTGCCAGTCCCGCCTGCGCCCCGCCTGGAATCAGATTGTCCCGGGCTCCTGCTGCCTCTCAGGGAACAAGAGGAATTGTCCTCCACACCAAGTCAGGCACCCTGTTCTTTCCTAGCCGTCCTCACTTCTGTCACTCCCCCTAACACACTGAACCAGCAACACCCTCTTAGGTGGAGGGCAAAGCCCTCCCAAATCCAACCTGCACCCTAGGTCGCACCTGCGCAAATCCAGAGGGGTCCCGGGCTAGCCGGACCCTCTGGTCTTTTCTTACCCTCTGCCTCCGGGGTCCTTAGCACTCCAGGTCCTGGTCAGCTGTTTTCTCACGCCCCCACCCTAATTCTACTACCGCGCCCCACTACAGACCCCACTCTCCACCGGGTCTCTGGGGCGGTCCCCTGAGCAGCCGCTCTTGGAGCAAGAGTCCCTCTCTCTCTCTCTGGGGTAGGGTTCTTTGGGAAACTCACCTCCCTACGGAATTTGCATCCTCCGGGGGGGAAGGGGCTGGACTCCCAGAAAGCTGCCTCCAGGGACCGGGTTACGATCACTCAGCCCAATCTGTCGACCCTCCTACTCCCTCCCTACTCAGGGTCTAAGTGGGGGTCCCTCTCTCCTGCTCCCCGGCTCTCCGAGCGAGCGAGCGAGCGAGCGCTGGGGGGTACCGGGGACTCCTCGGGGTGTGGAGCAGCGGCAGCGAGCGCAGCCCCTCTCCCGCCGGGGCGCGGGGCCCTGAGGAGCTCGGAGCGGCTGCTAGCCCCTCCCTCCGCGGGCTGGAGGGGCTGACGTGGAGGGAGGGTCCGGGCGGGGCCGGCTCTGCGATCGTCCGCCCCCCGTCGGCCGCGCGTGGGGAGGAGGGCGGGGGTGGCGCGCACCGAAAGGGACTTAAGTCGGAGAAGTTTGCGCACAGCCTCATCTCGGGGCGAGCAGAGGCAGGCTCCGCTAAGGTGAGCCTCCCGCGCTCCGGGGAGCAGAGAGCGGCGGGGAAGGGACCCTTGCCTCAAGCCTAGCCCACCACCCTGGGCTTTGAACTTCTCCCTTAAGGAAGGCTTGAAGGGTCTGGAAATTTGGGAGGTGGGCAAGAGGGAGTGCTCAGGACTAATCCAGTTTGCTCTCCCGTCCAACTAGGAAAGCCAGCCCCCCCCAGACCCTGGGTGGGCTGCACCTTGCGGACTGCAGACCCTCCTGGTTGGAGAGGTGCGCACTTCCGCACCTCACCCTGAGGTTGGTGAAGCCCGAGATCCTGAGAACGCCTGAGCTGTGCCCAGACACCCAGTGAGAGAATTCCTGGTAAGAAGGGGTTTGGGGGGTGGGGGGGTGGGTGAGAGTGGAATGTAAAGATTTGGGGGTCCCGGGAATAGCTAGAGGTGATGGTGAGAATGATACTTTGGTGTTTTGTGGGGTTTTTTAAATTGCAAAATTCTAGTTTGACTGTGGTGTTAGTGGATTTATGGTAGGGTCTACTTTAGTCTCAGTTGCTACACTTTGCCATGATTAGGGGGAAAAAATAGGTGTCTCTGGAAGGTGTTGGAGCTTACAATTTTGTGTTGAGGCGCTCTCTGGTTCCCTGTGAGTTTTGTAATATTATTCATATGAATTTTCTCTCAAAAGTTTTAGACTCCTATTTTATGAAGTCTAAAAATTTCTGGGCTTAAAGTTGTGGCTTTTTCCTAATGTATGTTTAGTGTAGCAAGTATCGGCATCTAGGGGATGAGCTGTCTTGTGCTCGGTCTAGCACTGGTCTTGAGTACAGTAGTGAATGGGTTTGCTTGTTTGGTCATGTTTTACACAGAATTATTTTCCAACAATCATTTATGCATAGCAGCCATTTTTCACACCTATTAGGAAAAATCTGTTGTGTGCATAGTTTCCAAAAGAGCCCTCTATTTCATGATGCTCTTTCCAAGCCTGGGTCAAGAAACGTTTCAACAAATTAATTCCTCTTTTCAGGGCAGTCATTTTTCTCCCCGAGGTCCAAGGAAATCCACTGTCAAAAATCAACAATGCAAGTAGATTTGTCACCTATCATGTCAGCTTTGTTTCTGAAATCTACCTGAAAGTTCTATATACCTTTAATCTAACAGTATATTGTACGTCAGAAAAAGGAGGCATAATCTCTAGATGCCCAGGACTACCTTTGTGGTTTAAGTGATTCCGAGCAAACCCATCTTTTCAAGGATAGTTGTTGAAATTGTTGGGCAACTGGGAGAAAAATGTTCAAAATAAGCTAAAGGTTGACCACGCAGGTCCTGAAACTAATCTTAAATAGCTGCGTGCCAAAGTTCCAGTGTCTGAAATGATAATAGAAGACAAATATTTTTTAAAGTCAAGCCGGTTGACTTGCCGTTAAGGGCAAAGTGGTAATGCTTTTAATGTTATGCCATTTATTAAGCATAATGTGTAATAGCTTGTTCGTGGACTAATATACCTTCAGTAGTTAGATAACTCAGCTTTAAGAAGTTGGAATTGCTGGTTTCATATGCTTTTTTCTTTCTTTTTTCTTTTTTATTTTTTTATGAGAGGAAGTAAGGTGACCGGGTTGCAAAGCCCTCCACTTTCCTGGTATTCACATTCATTTCCATTCTGTTTTAATAGCCCCAAACAACCCTTGGGCTGGAATTTGTTTTGGTTCAACAATGGCTCTAATCTACTGTTAATTTTAAGAACTAACGCCATCAAGTAATATTTGTCATATTGTAAAAATGTTTGTTTACTGACCACACCAACACGTTGAGTAGAGTAAACATAAATTGTTCATTATATGATCCACGAGAAGACGCAACATGTCTCAAATTGTTTCATGATGCTTAGACTGATATTCATTTCACATAAATATGGCCTCTATTTTCCATTTTCTTGTAATTTTGGAAGACAGCAGATGAAAAAAGATAGCCTTTGCTTCAAGCAATTAAAGAAACAAAATTATATATTACTATGCTTATTGCGTGGCATCTCTGTTCTTCATGAACACCCCTTCCCACATTCTTGCAACGTGGATTTGAATGAAAAAAATAATATCTTTTGTTGGTGTTTATTAACGTAAGGTGGAGTGAGCCTGAGAAGCCGGTGATGCTTTCCTGAGAACTTGAACCGGTGTTCTCAACTTGAGCCACAATTAGAATTTTTGTTTAATGAACGACAGAAAGAAAGAAAGAAAGAAAGAAAAAAAAAAACATGCCCGACCCTATGCAACCTAATTAAATCAGAATATCTGGGGAAGAGATCTGTATGTTGATGTATATCTTTAGGTGATTATAACATGCAACCGTGACTGATAAGAATCAGCTGATACAGTTTTCCATAAGATTTGATAGAGCCTGTTAATGTTGGAAGGTCTTGCTGAACATAAATGCTACTTATTGAATTGCTGGTCTGATCTTTGGATTTCATTGAGTCTGTTAATGTTGAAGGATCTTGGTGAAAATAAATGTCATTTGTTGTGTTGTCGGTTTATTTTTTTCCCCGTGTATGTGATGCATATAACTTGATTTTCTAATTAGAAGATTTTATTCCTTGATGTTACATGCTTAAATCATAACAGATCCCAAAAAGATATATTTTCCCCCAAAACAAGCTATCTGGACATCCAGAAAATGCTTTAGTACATGAACTCTAGCTACAAGAAATGTTAAAAAACATAATGCTTTATGAAGCAAGAAATTTGATTTCTTTTTGCTAAGACCTATATGATATACAATGTGCAAACATGTATCTTTTGAAAGGGAAAAAGAAAAAAAAATTAAAGCTTCTTGGCATACCAAGTAATATATTCTGGGTGCCAACTGTGTTCTAATATTTTCATACAAATTAGTTTTGAAAAACTCATAATGAGTTTTTGAGGTAAAAACTACTGCCCTTATTTTATATGAGAAAATTATTTATTTATTTTTTTATATGAGAAAATTTATTTTGCATGAGAAAATTGAGGTTCCATTATCCTAATAAACTTGCTTGATGTCACAAATCAAGTAAGCTAAAGATGTAACCAAACTCATACCTTCTTATTCCGAGTTCAACTGTATCATAAAACACACGTTAAGTGAATATTTATATTCTTAAAATTTTAAAGCCACCATCTAGCTGAAAAAGGTATAAGGTAAGAGCAAAGATTCTGACATAGCTGTGTTCGGGAAGATCTCCTGGCTCCATCACTGTTCGGCTGCACCAATCGGGCAAGTAATTCAACCTTTCTGGGTTATAAAGGCTAAATGTATTTAAAACATTTTATTTAATATGGATTAAATGAATTAACACTTGTAAAGCATTTGGGTAGTTACTTTGTGTCTAGTAGGTTCTATGTAAGTGTTATATTTTTAAATTCCATTTATTCACAAGCATGTTGATTATTTATTAAATGCCAGCCATTGATAGAACATAAAAAGTCATATCCTTGTCCTCAAGGGTTTTGCATCTAGTAGAAAATAAACATAATAAATAGACTGATTATTTTGTGCAGAAGGTAACATTTCTTCCATCTTAAGTATAATTAACAGCATGGCTTAGTATATGACAGCTATGCGTTGTGATCTTCCAGAGTTCCATCTGATGAAAAACCAAATGGTAATATTTTGTGTTGTTACAGCGGTCCTAGGTTGTTTCCAATTTCATCAAAACACAGAAAATCACATGCTTCTGGCTTCAATGTATAAGGTTAGAAAACTGATCTTTGGGGAGGCTACAGAGCTCCAGACTTTGTATTTTTCAAGTAAATCATGGGAATAGACATTGAGGAAGAATTAGTAGAAAAATGCTGTTGCTATATGTTCCTTAATACTGTGAAATGCAATTTCCTTGAATCAGTTTCCCAAGAGCAACGTGCATGTATGTGTGTGTGTGTTCCTGAGCTTGCGTGTTTATGATGTAGTTTTATCTTCACTCCTGGAAAAAAAAAAGTAATTTTTAGAAGAGTTGACGTCTATCAAAAGAGCACAGTAAAAGTCCTCCGATACCACGCTGGATTGGAAGACACATCACCTCTGAGCTGACTCTTCTCCCTAGATTATGCCTGTAGCATCACTCCAGTGCCGACACCTGTAGGCACCTGGGGACACTCCGAGGTGAGAGGCTTTGCCTTAGTGGCCTGTGTAGAAGAATAGCTGGGATGCCGTAAACTAAGGAGTTAGCTCTCAGGAAATAAAGCACCAGGTTCACTATTTCTGTAATCAATATTTAACTATGCTTTTGCACTTAAAATTTCTTTTTGGCAGTGTGCTCTTCTCTCCCATCTTAACAAATCTCGGGGCTGCTTCCAATTTCTGGGGGATGCTAAGCTTTTTAGCCAGCTCTGCAGCCACCCCCTTTTATTATCATTATCAAAATATTTCAATACTCTTCCAATATTTGGCCACATTCCAGTCCCTGTGTCTTGAATTCACAACATGGCCAGAATTATTTTCAAGCTCTGGTCTTGTCATCCTCTGTTTTAATTATTCAGTTATTGCCCAAGGGCGTAGCCCACTTTTCAGATGGGCTGTTTAAGATGCTTTGTGATATAAACGCCACCTGACCTTTTTCCCCCCATTGATAATAGGGAGAAAACCTCAACAGCTCCTTAATTCCATTTCTGGAGCTGCAGTCATACTAGGAAAATTTACTCCAGATTTAGAGTCCATCCTTCTCTTTCGGCCTTATGCCCTTGCCTATTAACCTCAGTTTACATTCTACTTCCTTAAAACTGGTGGTGGTGTGTGTCCATCCATTGCCAGGCTGTTTTGCTTTGGTTTATGTTTCTCCCCACGGTTCTTGTTCCAGAAGCTGTCCTTTATCTGCCTGGGGCTTCAGAATCCAGCATCTCAGACCTAACCTAAGCCCGTCCTTCAGAGAACATTAATTATTCCTTCATAGCACAAAATTTTTTAATTCTGATAGCATCACTTATATTTTAATACTCGATAAATATTTACAAAACAATGCTTATTATGTTTGATCTGATAATATTGTGATAAATTACAGTCTCTGGTCTGTGACCGCTGGACAGACAAACCAACAATCTCACAGCTAGAGTTACGCACTGCCATAGATGGCCTCGGTGCTCTGAAATAGGAAGCAGCAACAGTTTCTAGGGAGAATATCCTTTTAAAGAGCACGTGAGTTAGCATTGAAATGACAGTATATAAAAAAACTGAATAAAGAGAGGAAGATGTGAACTTGTATCACAGAAAAAAAAATACTAGACCGCAAGAAAACAAAAAAAATTAAAACTAAATAATAACCTTCCAACGCTTGAAACAACGCAGACACCTGGGTTGCCTCCATCAGGTTTGCGGGCCACTAATAACTTACCAAAGTGG